TAGCTACTACCATTTGTGTTTTCTTGCACTTTAAAGATCCAGTGATATATTTTAAAGTTTAGCATCGCATGAAGAAAGCAAATGAAAGGCGATGCATAGAAGGTTTTAATTGCTACGGATCATTTGTACAGCTATAGCTGCTAATGTTGTGTTATTTCACTTCAAGAGCTGTGATACGCAACTATTATTAACCTCTCTGCTCCCGAGCGAGTGAGTCACCCTGCCTGGTGACGGGACTGCCACAAGTCCTCACTCAGCTGTCTGACTTCACCAAGGAGAGATCCAAACCAGTGACGCCAATGCCGTCTACATCTTGAGCCAAGATCCTTCCTCTCCAAGTTGAAGCCTTCATGACCTCACACACAAACAAGGCGCTAACACTTCCTGCAGCCTCGAAGAGGAAAATGGAAATGTGTCCCACTAAGAGCTGTTTCTCGGGCTGCACATCCTGAATTTATCACAACAGGACATATTTATTTCACTTTGTTTGATGAGGGCAGCAGATTTACTGTTTGTGTGAGGGTGACGGGTTAAGTGAAGGTCAGTGGAAGTGGCATTGTTTATTTAACCTACTCAAGGGTCCCCTTGGGTGTGCTGCGCTGCCCACAGGATGTGTTCTGTTTCATTTGATAGTCATGAACTTGCAGTGTTTTACAAAAGTATTCATGCCCCTTTAACTTTCTCAAGTTTGTTATATTAAAACAACAACACATTTTTTTGTACTTACTGGGATGTTATGTGATAGACCAACACATGGTGTTCCACTAACCTTCAACCCACACTTGGGTTTCCACTTTTAACTTTGGTTACAGCAGCAAGTCTTTTGGGGTATGGTTCCACCAGCTTTGCATGGTTGCGATGACAAAAATCTTAGAAAAACTTTTCCTAGCTAAATATATCAAGGACATTTTTTCCCCAGCATTTTTATTGTCATTGCACTGTCACAAGTACAAAATTCACTCTCCATACAGGCCTAAAAATTTAATTTATTTTTAAATATGGCAGAGTTGGTCCTCCATAGGCCTGGAGTTTGACTGGGCTATTACCCAAATATATTAAGCCCTCCTACAGTAGCCTTAGCTGTATGTTAAAGGTATTTCTTAAAGTTTTAACCATCACTCAGTCTCTGCCGTTTTTCAGCCTTTAAAACATACCGGCATTGCCCTATAATTAGCTCCTTCCATCTTCTCCTAAACCCTGAGTAGCTTCCAGGTCTCTGAAGAAAAACATTCCCACAGCTTTATGCCCCCTCCACCATGCTTCCAGATGGGGGTGTTGTGTATAATGTGCAATGCTGTGCAGGACTAAAATGACAGATTTGTTAACTCACCAGAGCTCCTTCTTCTCATGGTCAATGTGAGATTGTGACAAAGTCTCATAGGCATAAACATTCTTTAAATTGATTCTGCTTGCTTACTAACTTTCTCACCAGTTTTAACTGGAATACCCTCTATTTCTTTTTGAAAAATGTGCAAAAGGACATGATTTTTTACTTTTACCAATGGATTTGGTAGGAGTTTGATTTATCAATTAACTCTGCTAGTTATGAAACCAATCAAGCTGCTGCTGCTATGATTGGCTAAAAAACTCAACATCAGAGGCTGATACAGCTAAAAGAATTATATTGAATGTTCCTCCCTTTTGCAAACACATTCCAGATTAGTTTGTATAATTCAATTTGAAATCTACTCTGTATCAATCTGGTTAATTCTAAGTCATCTTCTTCCTTCACTATGTTTTATTATGCATTAGTATTTCACATAAGACAAAAAAGGAAAAACCAAACAACTCACTTTATGATTGTGGGTGTAACATGGTAACATAATTTTAAGAATAGCGTAAACTTTTAAAAAGCACTGAATGTATATTTTGCACAGTTTTAACCAGAAATGTGTTGAAAGAAAAGAGTCCATTTGTTTTTGCTTTAGTGTTTTATTTTTTATGCTTTGCAAGTGGATGTCTGCAAATAGATTCAATGTTCAGCATTACAAAGAGTCAAGGAATGTTTTCAGTCATTAGCAGGAATTCTTCAATTTGCACTTCATTTGGTAAATCTTGCAGCTGTAGGATTTCTACCTTTTTTGAAGACAGCTTTTGTACTACAAGTATCTGTAGGGAAAGAACAACTCTTTGTGAGCCTAAAGATAAAAATTAATAAAAACTACAGACATGGTTTGATGTCATTTTGATGCCTTCGCTAAACCTGTATGCCATGTTTGCCTGGTTTACCTCTACTTTAACATGTAACGATTCATCATTGTTATGTTTTATCCCCTCCTGCTGAAATCTCTCATTATTTCTCATTTTTCACAAACATCTTTCTTCATTATTCTTTGTTATTGTCTTCATCTTCTTTTTCTTCTATCTTTTACCCCTGTCTGCTCACCCTGTATCCCTTCCTGAATGTTATCTCATTTCCCCCTGCCTCTGCCTCCAGATTTCTCTCGTATGACTGACTTTCTCATTGGAAGTTACCTACAGGGATTTCAGTGACAGCGCTAAATGATTCTGGTTGATATCAGGGAGGGGAGACTAGCTGTGTTGCTATGTAACAGCAGGAAATTGGCCACTGGCTGAAAGGAAAATCGTATTCAAATGACTGCTTTTTGGTTATTTTTTTGGGGATGAGGGGTGTTCTTTGAATTGGTCTTAAATTGCAAACAGCAGGAACAATCTTATCAAAAATCAAAACTGATATTGACCTCAAACAATTTCCTCAGATTCCGACTAACATTGCATATGATACTGAGAATAAGCATACATCCAGTTGACATGTCCTCCAAGACAAAACCTGCAAAGAGCATGACAAGCATGGCTGTCTCAAGAACAGCATGTTGCTGTGTCTTGAGACTTGATAACTCTATTCTCTAATGCTGGGCTGTATTGCAAATAAGTCACGTTGTGTATCACAGAATGAGAGCAAGAGGAATCCTTACAGATTACTATTTCAAATCGTGCACAGCTGTGGTTTAGGCTTAACAGAATCCCTATTTTGGGTCATAGCCAGGGCAGAACACAAATATTCAGCTGCATCCGATGGAAATGTAGATTGCTAAACAAGGATCCAGTTTGCTCCATACTAGATTGTAATATTTCAATAACTGAAGAAGACATTTTGATAGTCTTCTGCAGAATTTGTGAAAGGAAAGTGAAGCTATTGTAGAGTGAAGAGTGTTCCAGCATTATAACAAAGAACAAAGTGGGTGGCTCACTAAGATTGCATCTCAGAACATGCATACACATACGCTTGAAGAGCCTGTGGGTGCAGCCACATTCAGCAACTGTGAGCCACTGTTTTTTCGATGAGAGGCTTCTGTGTAGAAAAAAAAAATGCCATTTCCATCCTTGGGGGTTTATCTGGGCAGAGAGAAAGAAATGAAGGTAGAGAACAGTGCATGTGTGCGCTGCCACTGTCTGTGAGCAGAGGAATAGGGGTTAAATCAAACACTTCTGCCAGTGTCTTGGGTCCAGCTGCAATCATTCCTCTAGCCGCCCCTGGTTTCCTACGCAAAATTGCACAATCCTCTGTCATACATGGTGGTAATCTAGGATGAACAAGCAGGGAATAATAAAACTCCATTATTCTATGAAACACATCTTAAAGATATAACTATGCATGACAGCAATCTGTTACACAACACGGTCCTTGTCCAGATGTTAATACAGGAAAAGGAAGGTTTATTAGTGATCTCTGAGTCCACAGTGTATTTGTATAATGATCAGGGATTTAATCTGGGTCCTAAACAATAGGACCACAAGCCTTAAACAGCCCACGAGTTACTTTTAATTTCATTTCAGAATTAATAAAGTATTTTTTTTAATTAAATTAAATGACCTATGTATGGGAAACATCCATCCCTGAAACAGCAGACATGCTCTATCCGTATTTATTGATTTTTTTTTGTCCGTTTTTTTTTATGCCATCCTTCCAATTTATAAAAAAAAACATAAAAAAAAAACAGCAGCCACTTTTTTTTATTTGTCTTTACCAGAAGTTGTACAAAATCCATGGACAACTTAATGGATTTAGAAATAAACTGGATAATGAGTCAGCCTTTATAAAAAAAAAAAAAAAAAAAAAAAAAAACACACTTTCACTTTTGGACTGACTCTATATTTAGAAACAACTTAGGTTGAAATTAGCTGAAGCTGTATTGTTTTACTTTATTGATCTCACAATGGAGAAATTGACCGTTTCCATCATCTCAAATAGTCAAAAAGAGACTTAATCATATTTAACTACTTTAACACAGTTGTTTTATGTCCTACCCTGCTAACATTAACCAATTGTGTTAAAGTAAGTAAATATGATTAGGTGAATGCCAAAAAATGGTTGCATTATTTTTTCAGAGAAGAAGAAGGTGCCAAAGGGAGAAAAAGGGTATATACAGTATATTCACATATGACAGCTTTTTTAAATAGCAGGATTAGTATACAGGGTTATTGCACAGGGTATTTACATGGCTATTTATATAGATGGATATTTATATGTATATACATAGTTATTGCAGTGGGTGTCAAATATAAAGTAACAGGTTATTGCACAGGTTATTAAGTATTAATTGCACAAGTTAGTGTAGAATTGTAGATGATAATAATATTTTCGTTTCCCAATTGTGGGACAATAAAGGGGTTTTCTATTCTATTTTCTATTCTAGTGTGTATTTTTGGGTTGCAAAGGTTGGCATGATGCATACTGTTCTCCAGTTTTGCTATAGTGGCATTTGAGGGAGTGGGGAGGGGGGGGGGCAAATTTGTAACGCAGCGTGTACAGTAGCTGTAGTCTGTTCCACCAACGCTGCATTTAGATTCCTGGGGGTGTAGCTACGGTATACGGCTCTCACATGACCTCACTGCCGGCTCCCAGCCAATAGGGTGCCGATGTGAGCGTGACATCAAAAGGCGCGTGCGTTAGCTGGTGTATGCGCGTGCATTCAATCCCTCCCTCCCCCCTCCTACTTGCAAGGCAGGAGCCCCTGTCTCTCTCCCTCCCTCTCTCTCTCTTTCTCTAGTGTACAGGCGCAGTGTGCAGCTTCCCTCTGCACTGAATGAACTAGATTTCCCCCGGCCACGTAAGAAGCACAGCGGTACCACGGGAGAGAGGATGTCCTGCTGAATCAAAGGGATTGGCCTGGGAAAGACGGCCGTCCCTTCCTTCCTTCCACAAGCTTTTGCAGCAGCAGACACAGCCGACGAAGCGGCGAGTTTCTTCCACTGGATAAGTTCAAGCGGAGGATAGAGAACGGCTAGCACACAAAGAGCGTCAGCAGTCTCTCCGGATGGGGCTCTCTCCTTATGACAATCACCGTGCATGGATATGATCCCTGGGAAAAAGGCCGTGCACTGATCCGGTACTCGTTAGCAAAGGAAGCTAACTAGTTAGCTCTGCACCTGCTAAGCAAACCCCCTCCTCCTAACGAATTTCTGTAGCTATTATTAGCTCAGAAACTTAATTTGTTTGGCTTGTTTATTCTATATATGCGACTGCAAGCCGTGTCCTGTACATTGTTTCCGTTTTACGAAACGTGTCTTAGCAATTCACCGGCGAGATAAGCTAGCGGAGCGTAGACCTAGCAACCGTTGATTAATTTTAAAAGCTAACTTTTGGTAGCCTTTGTTGCAGCTTTTGTCTCGCATCCACGTTAATGAAACTGCACTTCGTTGGCCTCAGGCAGGTATTTAACACGGATTTCATTTCATGAATGTATGATAAAAGGGAACAAATGAGCAGTAGAATTTTTTTTGAGTACATTTTTTGTTTGCCTGTTGACACAAAACCAAAGCACGATACTATAAATTAATTTTTCCCTTTTTTTCATATTATATACGTTAGGTAAGCATATATTTTTTTAAGTATCAAGGTATTAGTGGTGTTTAAAACAAGGCAGAGGTGGAAAAAAGGGAGAAAACTTCGATATTTTTGTGAGAGATTTCGCACTTATTCCTCATGAACATACAGAGGTCAAATCCAATCAACATTTCACGTTATGGGAGATCGCGACACAAATCGCACGATTTTGAAGAATTGTCTTGCTTAAGGACTACAGAGTCGAACCAGAGTTTCAGCCCGAACCTCGGCTCCCCTAGCCCGCCGGAGACCCCGGACTCCTCGCACTGCATCTCCCGCATCGGGGACTACCTTTTGTTGGAGCCGCTGGAGGGAGACCACGTTTTCAGAGCCGCCCACCTGCACAGCGGGGACGAGCTCGTATGTAAGGTGAGCAGCTTCCCCTAAAAAGCAACCTTCATGCTTATTTTTATTGCTTCAAACAATCTATTTTAAATTGAGTTTTGTTTCAGATTTTGCACATTCTCCTGCAGAAATGCAGATTTGGATTTTTTTCTTCCAGGATGCATATTGCACTAAATCCTGCCACCTCAACTTTTAAATTATTGCTTACATGGTAAATAGAGAGCTGGCAGCCCAGCCTGATGGAAAAAGTGAATGGAGTGAGCTGTGTGGTTTGGATTGCATGATGTAACGTTGACAAAGGAGTGAGTAACCGCTCGCACACACTCCTGTTAGTGCCATTCTGGTTTACCCGTGGCTTCTCCATTCACAGCACAATGCTGTAATCAGTATACCCTGGAGTAGCTGTTTGGCACGCCAATGTTGTTGTGCTCATTCTGCACAAAATTCTTATTAGAGCTTTTGATTGATCAGTGGTGAACAGTAGGTCAATTAATGAAAAAGCAGATTGGTTTTCCTCTTCGTTAGATGCTTAATGCATAATGAAGACGTACAAAATATGTACTTATTGCACTTTTTTTTAGTCTAATGAAAATTTTGCATAGGCACATGTGCTTTGATGCATACATGGTAATAATCATGTACTTCTTTAATGCTCTGTTAGACTCTAAACCAGTAAGATGGGGGAAAAGAAGGCCAAATTTGCTGATCAGACTTGATCTAGTTCTGATCTGTTCATCTGTTTGTAGGTCTTGTTAACTTTCCATGTTCTGGCTGCTGTTGTGGTGTTTTCCCCAGCCAGTGACCGATCTTACAATAAACAATAACCCTTTCTTACCTCATTTATTGACTTCACCATACTCCTGATTGTTATATCCGCAGCTCTTGTCCCTCGGCAGCTTTTAAACCTAAAACTGCCCTGTTCAGGATGATTAATAGAAACAATAGTGACATCCACCCTTGGACCCATAAAGCATGACATATCCAGTAACCTGCCCCTTTGACTCATGATAATGTTTTCTCTGCCATGAAAAATGAGTGACCTTTGGCTCTGGTTATGAGGTAACTTGTGTTTGTCCTCATCAGCTTGGTGCTGACCTCAATACAGCACCAATCAATCCCTCACTTCCCGGATTCATCAGTTAGGTCAAGCTTGAAGGCTGGGTACTATCGTTGGACCCGCAGGGTGTATTTTGTATTGAGTGCAAGCAGTGGTGCCTTCTCACCTGAACTGGTTGTACTGAAAGTCAATCGGGGGTTGCTATGGAAACAAATAAGACACTGCAACCCCAGGCAGCAGCACAGTACCATGTAGTATTATGCTTTCAGTTTAGCCTTCCTATTTGCAAAAGAATATACAAGAACAAGTGTGATGCTAAGTTAAAGCTGAAATGACTCTTTATCTGTGTGTCACTTAATTTATTAGCTAAAGTAAAAACAAACTTTCCTGTCACATTTGTAGGTTTTTGACATTGGCCGATACCAGGAGTCGCTGGCGGCCTACTTCGCCCTGGGCCAGCATGAGCACATCAACCAAATCCTGGAGATTTTGCTCGGAGAGACGCGAGCTTACGTGTTCTTCGACAGGAGCCACGGAGACATGCACTCTTTTGTTCGCACCTGCAAGAAGCTGCGGGAAGACGAGGCCGCGCGGCTCTTCTATCAGATAGCTTCAGCCGTGGCACATTGCCATGACAACGGACTGGTCCTCCGTGACCTCAAACTGAGGAAGTTTGTCTTCAAAAACGAGGACAGGTGAGCTTCAGCAAACCTTCAGTGTCTTTACTAACTGAGTATTGTGGCTTTCTCTTTCTTCCATCAAAGCAGCTCTCATGGTGAGAATACAGCTGCCTGTTATGTCACATCTTGACTTTAACAGCGGATGGTGTAAGCTGAGTCAAAGCAAGACTGGCATGGTTATCCTAAACGCATCTGCCCCAGTTTTTTCTGTGCATGCGGTTTATCTGTGGAAATGTCCCATGTTCTTTGTATAAACAGATGAAATGCGTGAGAGCTAGCATGCAATCATTGACTTTACTGAAGGCCTGCACTAACATTAGATGGGAAAAAACGCAGTCGGATAAGCTGCTTGGACAAGCTTTTAGGTGGCAGACGATCAATCAAAGGGAGACTCCAAACTACTGTAATAACCCCAGCCTGACGATCACACTTGCAGAGTACAGATTCTGACACCTTCTGGCAGCTATCACTAACTACAAAAAAGGCATCAGTTGCTACAGCAACCCAATAGCAAATTATTACTTTCATTATAGGAAAGAACAATAGTTACAAATGACCATCTAGAGTTGATGCTTCACACTATAACTATATCAAAGCCTACTAATTTGGTTAATCCTTTTAGCCCCTGGCATACTCTGCTCGTTGGCATCAGAATGCAGGTTGTCATTCTTTGGCACGTACTGTGGAAAAAGAAGTTGAGCTGCTTCACATACTTAGTGCAGGTCCAGTGGCCTTCTTAGGTCCACGACTGAGACCATGTTTAATGATTGATGTTGTGGTCTTTTATGAGCGGTCTCTCAGGCCAGAGTAAGGATGAATATAAGGCTGATATGTTATTAACAAAATAGGAGCCTCAGGAAAACTGCCAAGAAGGATCATTACGGTATCCTATACAAAATAATGTCCAATATATTGTAGTTTATAAAATTCTTTTAGTGTAAAATTTTACTTTAAAAAACAATAAAATGCATCTACTGTTACTTTTTGCAAGAAAAATTAGAAATTGTACTACAATCAAGTTATTTAGTAAATAATTGATTATTTATAATCATTAACCGGATTATACAGACTGAGCATGCCATTTGCCGAAATAAAACCCATTCAAAGTCATAATTAAGCCAAACTGTAGAAAACAAATACACAAAATATTTGTATTTAAAGTGACAACCTTTTCTTTTCTTTTTTTTTTAGTAATATGCTATATCCAAGACTGTTTGGGATAGTTTTAGCTTCGCTTTGTTCAAATAGTAATACATAAAAATCTATAAAGCAACTTTTGCTATCAGGCTATTAATCTGCTAATTAGATTGAAGCCGTTCTATGTGAAGTAGCCTTAGTTCAGCCAGCTGGCATGCAGTTTGGAACAAAGTGTTTTTTACGCTTGGCTCCATGTTTGATTGAACTCGGATATGGTTCAGTGACTTATGTGGGTTTCATCTTTCATACTGTGCATTTAAGCCTTTGAAAACACAATATTTCCTGTTCTTAAAATGAGCATGAAGCAGTTCAGTAAAACATAAATCTAAATATAAGTAGGAATTGTTTTGTGGCTCTGGGTAATAGCAAAGAGGCATATTTGAGTGCTTTGCTCTACATAATAATGGTTACATCATTGCCATTGATCAAGCACTAATATTGAATGGATTTGTCACTTTTTTTATTTTACCACTAAGCTGGTGTTGCTTGCTCCCCCATTTGATTAAGTGATATTTATGAATAACAGATGTTTGGAGAGGAATATTTTAGCCATGTTAGGCATCAATTACAATCAAGGTCAGGGAAGAAGTAAAAAAACAAGTTTTATGTGGAGGAATTTTAATAAGCTTTCAAAACCTTTTTTTTTTTTAAGTGAGCTTTAAATTTGTATTCCTCTGCTGTTTTATCTTACAGTTTTGTGTTTCTGCGGTTAAAATGCTTTAGATTGATGGCATTCTTTTTGTTTCTTCTCTGTTTGCAGAAGCCTTGTTAAACTGGAGAGCCTTGAGGACTCTTATATCCTAGCAGGTCTTGATGATTCCCTGTCGGACAAACATGGCTGTCCAGCCTACGTCAGTCCGGAGATCCTCAACGCCAACGGCAGCTATTCGGGCAAGGCGGCGGATGTTTGGAGTCTTGGCGTCATGCTTTACACCATCCTGGTTGGGCGCTACCCTTTCCACGACGTAGAGCCAGGATCTCTGTTCAGCAAAATCCGCAGGGGCCACTTTAACATCCCTGAGACGCTGACTCCAAAGGCTAAGTGCTTGATCCGCTCTATATTACGACGGGAGCCGGCGGAGCGCCTGACCTCTAGGGAGATCCTGGAGCACCCTTGGTTCACTTCCTCTGGAATGATGGGCGGGTTTCAGGTGCACAGTAGAGGGGAGAGGGAGCAGGAGCAGATGGTGCCCGAGGTGAACATGGAGGAGGAGCTGGAGCTGTTTAGCTGAACTACCAACAAGCACAAAAAGGATGACACCGCCACGATCTGCTTGCCACGGTATCAGCAGAGCCAAAAAAAAAGAAAAAAAAACTGTAGTTTAGAGATAAATAGATGAATTTGTCACTCATAGATAAGGTGTTTCCATCCTGTTTTCCTTTTTTCCACCACTTCATGGAAAACCTTGAGCCTGGCATGACAAATGGCATCTATAGATTATCTGGCAAGGCACTCCTCAGTGGGGGATATTGCTGCCAGACATGCAAGTTGCAAAACAATGTAGCAATTTTTTTTTTCCTGTGCATTTTGGTTTAATGTGGTGCTCATACGAAGTTGATGCATTCACCATTTTTGACACTATTAAGGCATGAAGGGACATATGAAGGCGGTAAACCAAGGACAACCATATGTAACAGACTGCAGCACCACACTTTTTCTTACAGATTTTGCTTCTTTTTTTTTTTCGGGTTTCCATGGCGATAACGGTAACGCCACAGACCCCAAGTTGGAAAGAGCAACCACATGTTCTGTTAAGCTGACACAACTGGCTTGGGACCACTAGGAAACAGAACCTCTTCGTCTTTTTATCATCATTACTTTAAAGAAGAAGAAAAAATGTCCGACCTCAGTTTTGTTAGTTTTAGCGTATCTCCATTTTGCAATACTGACAACTCAGACCGTCACTAAAACTCCTTGGTGGCCTTTTTTCAGTTATAACTCTCCTTAAGCCTCGATTATGCTTTGATTTTCGCTATGTCATCAGCTACCGCTTTTGTTTCTAAGCTATTCTAATCTGCTCCTGCTGCTTTAATATCTCCTTGAAGCCTTTCATTCATTTTCTATGTAATCATCCCAACATGGCATCAAGCACTTGGTGTGTTAGGTTAACAAACACTTCCACCTCCTTAAAATTAGCTTCCTTTTATTTAAATTTCAGTTGTACAAGCGATAACGTAATGTTTTATTTAAATTGTAACAGCTATAAGAATATATATAAATGAATAAAAATATATATTTAAAAACTACATAGCAGGGTATTTCTTTACTAAGAGATTCCTTTTCATGTATGATGTAGGCAATATTTTGACAGAGGACAGGTGTGAAGAGAAAACTGTCTAAGGTTTTAGAGAAACAAAACGCCATCTATGCCAGTATTCCTGTGCCCCCAACAGGCCATGCCACCCAGTCTCTCCCTCATTTCTGTTTGGAAGATTTAGAAAATAATAAAATAAAAAGATGTGGGATATTCAGTAGTGGTATTGCTATTCCATGTTCACTCCATGACCTCGTGTTAGTTTTCCTACTACCTGTGTAGGTTCTGTGAAAGGATCAGATTGGGTAGCAATGGACATGTTTTGTCGTATCTCAATGTTACTTGAATAAATCTTTCTTTTTTTTTTTACCTAGTCAGTGGCATGTGCTCCATGAATGCTATAGCCTGCCTAGTGAGGGCAAGGGTGGGTTGGGGATAGGAGGATACTTTTTTGGTTTTCTTTTCAAGAAAAGCTATTAAACAAGGAAAAATCTTAATTTACTACCTTTTTGAGTTTCTTTCCAGTTCAAATACGGCTATAACTTCCCTTGTTTCTGTAGACTGAGCTACCTTTTATTTAAGTTGGTGCTGATATGGTGCTAATGTTTAGTTTTTGTTTTGCTCCTTGGCGGGTGGGTGGTGCATGGTGGGATATCTGCCTCAGATGTTCAGATTGTATTGTAACAGATTCTGGTGTTTTGTCCAAATTTATTCAGTAAATAAATTGTGAAATGAAGTTTGACATATTGTTTTTCTTTCTACAAACATAAACATTTTTTATTCCTGGAATGTGGGTTCCTAAATATGTTCCCAGTCACCTTTTTATTTGATAGCTGCTGAGTTTATATCAAAGCTGTTTAGAGAATTAACTTTTCAAGCAATTTGGCAGTTTCCTCCTTGTAATGTTAATCCAATTTACTCTACAATTCCCCCCCCGATGGTATTACATGGGTAAAAAATGTCTTATTTGGCTTGCTATTTAGTCTAAGACTGCTATCCCCCCTCCTAAAAACAACAGGTTCCACCAAAGGCATCTCTCTTAAACCCCCTCTCAGTATGTCCAGTTTTGTCTTGTTTGTATGCTCTTAGTTTTTATTATTTTTAAAGCTGCGTTGATTTCATAAAGAATTTCTGGTGAAATGTGGATATGGACTGTGAAGAAAAGCAGACTTCGATAGAACTCCTAAAAATCTCAAAATCTTCCTCGTCTACCATTCTGCGCTTGAATTTTTCATAAGGGTCAGTATTTTCTTCCATCGGAGTTGTGCAAATCTAGTTAAAAACCTGCAGAAAACCAAAATTTATTACATTTTGTTGTGCTACTTTTAGCGACAGATGTAGATTTTTCTCTCTTATGCCTTTAGATATTAAAGGGCTGGTTTTGCGACTACTCTAATAATGAAACATGTAAGTATTGATTTGTCGGAATGCTTCCCCTTAAGACTTAGATGTACTAAGTTATCAAGAGGCAGCTCAATAATTAGTATTAGCTAAAACCAAAGATGCACTCAACTTTTTAAAAAATTTTTATAAAATTATTTGGAAAATGTATTCTCTTATGCATAATACAACTTCAGGAATATGCAAAGCCTCAATCTCTTTCTAAGGAAAGCTTTGAAGACCAAAGAGGTTTGAGCTGCTTAGCGATGCGCTGGGCTGCAGGGGTCTGTCATGGTGGAGCCACAAGAGAACGATCAGACAGGACAGTGTTACCCTGCTCTGTGTGAGCAAGCATTTATATAAAGTGGGGCTGACAGGGTAGTCCTCCCACATGTCCTTTCAAGTTCTCCAAGTGATTGCAACCTAATTTAGAAGCAAGATGTACTTTTTTTTTTAGGGGACAGTGCCAAGCTTGGACTTGAGATAAAATATTTAGACCACACAGCAGCTTTTAGATTCAGTTTGAAGTGCAGAATTAAACATTTTAGGGATGCCATCCAGAGGTGTGTTGGCTTTACTGAAAATAATTACTGGACTATAAAATGGGTAATAAAGTGGGAATTTTCCCTGCCGGATTTCCAACTGTTGTTAAATCGTGACCAGATTGGGGGGAAAAAAAAAGATTTGCTTTGAGTTTGAGGTTGATGGTGTAATCAGAGGTTAAAAAAATGGTGGTGATTAATTGAAAATAAGCTATATTCTGTTTGTAGTTCAGTGTTCCCCAACTTCCCATTCAGAAATGGAAAAGAATGCTCACAGGAGTTGGAAATCTGTAATCAAATCACAATTTACTCTCCAATGCGTTTGACACATTGAAAGCCGAAATATGAACTATTAGTCTGATGTTTGGACTCATCAGATGGGAAGTCTATTTTGGGATCTAACAAAAAAGTTGATGCTCTGTTATTGCCTTCCTTTATATCTTTGTTCTGGTTTTCATACAGAACAGCAATAATTTTACACGGTCATTGATCTCTGATGCTCTTTATCAACATAGAAATATTTTTACATTAAAAACTTGAAAAGGCTGCTGAATGAGGGCTCAGCAAACTGCAAGAGCCTGAACTAATGTAGCATTTAGTGTACTAGCCTGACCTCTAGTGGCACAATAAAAACACTGAAGAAAGCCACATTTCTCTTATTTTAGCAAAAGGTTTTTATAAGAACAAAGGATTAGATGGTAGGCTTATAAAGTGAATGTACAGGAAATAAGCTTATATTCAAATAATCCATCATTACATAATGAATAGCTAAAAGTAAAGCATTTGATTTATATTCATTTTATATTCATATTTCTACTTTGACATCATGACTGTCCTTAAATATGAGCTTTTTTTCAAACATTTGCAATATTTTATGGACAATAATTGTTCATTCAAATTAAGCCTTTCCATGTTTTATCACTTAGAAGCATCAGATTTGCAAAATAAATTTAAAAGGCTTTCTGTGAATTTGGGTTCATAACTATTTAGTAACATAATTAGTAAATATAGTCCACTTGTGTACATTTTATCTCGCCAGTGGAAAACAGCAGTGGACAAACATGACGACCGTGGAAAAGAGAAAACGGATCAGAGATGGTCAAAACAGGGTAAGCTTGTAAAGAGACACAGTCTTCCACTTCAACTGATGGGGAGTGACGAGTGCTGAATAGAGACAGCTTCTCCAGAGTAGCTGCAGAAGTTCACAGCTACGGTTGGAGAATCCTGTCACATGAAAACTATTAGTTATGCACCTCACATGTCCTTCCTGGATGACAACTCTAAAAAAAAAAAAGCCATGTGTTTAAATGATTGTCAAAGTACAGACCTGTTTTCTGTCTTAAATCTCATTTAGCTTGAATTATTTTGCAGAAAAATAGGCAAAAAAGTGCTGGGGACAATAAATGTGAACAAAAGTAAACAAAATCACATCAAGTCTGGTTGAAATATAAGAAAACATGATGCAGATCATTTTGTTTTCAAACTTTAATTTCCATTTGTGAGTTTGAAGGTTAAACTTCTGTTGGTAGATTGCAGAAGCAGATATAACGTCATTGTTTTTCTGGGCCAGCAAGCAAAGCAAAACATTTTTTTCTACATTATGATATGCAAAGATTTGGGTTTGGATTACCCTGGAGGATATTTCCAGTGTACCAGCATTGACTCTCAGTTTTAAGATGAATGTGATTGTGCAAAGCATTCCATACTAAGTAGCACTGAGGCAGCAGGAAATCTGGCACCGGATCTATCTTTGCAGAAGCAAAGGTAGTATAAAAAAAAAAAAAGAAAAAGAGCAGAAGAACTGTCAGAGGACTGGTAGCAGCCTTCAAACCAGATCTAAGAAGGATACACAACACCAAGAGCTGAAGGGGAGAATTGCCAGGGTTCCTTGTGGATGGCTGGCCTATATAAGGAGACAATGGAACTACACTACATGCCAAAGTTGCTCATTTGAAGAAGAAAACCGTTAAAAACAAAATCCATAAATTTACAGAGAAATCGAGATGGGCAATATGTTTTCACATTGCTTTTAATGTATGCCTGTTATTGTAGACATGAATGCGAATTCATTTAAGCTGCACAGTATTTAATGAGGACTGTGACTAATTAAAATCTGTCAAGGACACAATCTTGGCAGGAACTGCTTCCCTTCTCAGTATTGTACAATTTAAAGCATAATCCTGCTTCTGTTTTTTTTTTTTTTTTTTTTTTATCAGAATCTTTGCAGCTCAATAAATCCAGAGAGTCCTACCTGCAGACGTCATAACTGGCTGCAGAGATAGAGATTTAAAAGCTCTCTGAAGGCCGAGGGCAGTACTGCAAAGAGGGCTCTGTTTCCTCCACTGCTCGTTTGTATTGCCTGTGACAGCAATGATTCATCTCTTGTTTACACTATTCGTTCATCGCTGTGCTCTTCCACAATCTGTCAAAATGTTGACACTCACCAGCCATCTCAGGGCCTAGAAAACACTCTTAAAACATCCCGCATTCAACGTCTGTTTGGGCTAAATATTTTATGGGTTGGCATCTTATTGTAACACCAAGGAAAGGCTGTAGCTGCTTAGTTTAACAGGAGAAGGAGGGGGAGGACTCCAATCTGGAACGTCATCCAACTCTACTGCTGTTTGGTATTTCTGCATGTTTTTCCAAAATCCTCAATTTTCCGTCACACAAAACAGCATACAGCATTAATAAATAGTAGGAAATCATCAACATTTTTATTTTTTTGTCAAAAATGTATTAGATAATACCTTACATTAAATAGAACTGCTAGCAAACATTTGCAAAGACACGCTGGTGTGGAAAAACCCTGCTGTCACAGTAATCTTCTTTCACAATTCAATCTCTGCAGAGCTTCAAATCCGTATGAGATAACAGATGTGGGGAAGAAGTACTGTGGCTGTTTTTTTTTTCTTTCTGATGAACAGGATATATTAATAATCCTTTCTCTTTAATGTGAGAGACTGATAAAATAAGGATTCACATGGAAAGAATATGGACTAGGAAGCAGCGATTTGAAGGATTTTACCTGTTTATTATTCTCTTTATAATTATGGATACAGCATTATATATTGAGTAAGCCTTATTATTTGTCAGCTTTAAATCTAAATTTGGCACTGGGAGTCAAAGTAGTAAGTTGGGAAAAAGGAAAAACATTGCAAGAATTTATTTTTTTCCATAAGTATTTGTTCAGACTCACCACATTGGTGCTGCATTTTGCTGCCTTTACTGTTTAAATATCTTAGAGTATATTTTGGGCTTGCTTGCAGCAAGAAGGTTCTGGGTTCGATTCCCGGCCCGGGTCTTTCTACATGGAGTTTTCATGTTCTCCCTGAGCATGTGTGGGTTCTCTGGCTTCCTCCCACAGTCCAAAAACATGACTACACTCCCCTTAGGTGTGAGTGTGTGTGTGAATGGTTGTTTGTCCTGTTTGTCTATGTGTTGCCCTGCGATGGACTGGCAACCTGTCCAGGGTGTAACTCTCGCCCAATGACTGCTGGAGATAGGCACAAGCAACCCCACTTGGGATAAGCATGTTAGAAGATGGATGGATGGAGTATATTTCTTCAAGATGTCTCCATCTGTCTACTAATAACTAATCACGTTCTGCTCTACTGCTCTAAAAAGGTATAGTCCAATCGCATAATGCTGCCACCACCATGTTTCATCATAAGGATGGTGATGTGCAGTGGTTGTGTTCCATCACAGTGTTCTTATTAGAGGCCAGAAAGCTACATTTTGCTATTATCTGACCAGAGCATTTTCTGTGACCTTTGCTGTGATGTCTACCTGCCTTCTAACTGACTGAAAATTA